TGTATACAGCTGGGACTTCCGTGTATTACAGCTGGGACTTCTCATGTATTACAGCTGGGATTTCTCATGTATTACAGCTGGGATTTTCCGTGTATTACAGCTCTGATTTCCCGTGTATTACAGCTGGGATTTTCCGTGTATTACAGCTGGGATTTCCCGTGTATTACAGCTGGGACTTCTCATGTATTACAGCTGGGATTTTCCGTGTATTACAGCTGGGATTTCCCGTGTATTACAGCTGGGATTTCTCGTGTATTACAGCTGGGATTTTCCGTGTATTACAGCTGGGATTTCTCATGTATTACAGCTGGGATTTCTCGTGTATTACAGCTGGGATTTCTCGTGTATTACAGCTGGGATTTCTCGTGTATTACAGCTGGGATTTCCCGTGTATTACAGTTGGGAGTTCCCGTGTATTACAGCTGGGAAAAAAAAAGTCCTCAAAGCTTCGATAGCTTACGTGTGATTTACACCACTTCATGATAACATAGGAAAAATACTACTTTTTTTATTGAACACGTAAAATGGTTATAGTCCATTAAAAAAAACGTCTATAATCTATTAAAAGAAACATCTATAATAAAGAATCAGATGATAGACCTTAACAGTTTGGTTTAGATTTTACAATCTAGAAAACACTTTTTTTTATTTTATAAGAAAACTTTAATTTATTTTGACAGAAATGGCGGTCTTTAAAGCCAGAAAAAAGGGGAAAATTACGTCACCTGCTGAGTTTCAGCCAATAAAAACCCACTATCTAGTAGTTATACTTGGACAATCAAGAGTTGGAAAGACGGCCATCGTCCAACAGTTTTTAAACGGAGAATTTTCCATCGATTACAGAGCCACCGTGGAAGAATTTCACCGCAGCCAATACGTCATGGACGACTTTGTTTTAACACTCGATATTCTCGACACCAGCGGAAGTTACGAGTTTCCAGCAATGAAGAGATTAGCTGTAACTAAGGGAGACGCCTTCGTTCTGGTGTATTCCATCGAAGACGCCGAATCCTTCGAAAGGGTGTATCGAGAACGAGAGTTTGTCCTCAATATTCGACCGCTAGGTGTCCCCATAGTCGTGGTGGGCAACAAGTGTGATCTGGAAGGTGACAGAAAGGTTGGAAGGGAGCTAGCGGAGAGTGTGGTGATCATGGACTGGGAGAACGAGTTTTTAGAAGTCTCGGCAAAGACTGATATAAGCATTTCTGACATTTTTAACAAGCTGTTGACACAAGCTCGTGCGCCTGGTGAGACGTCAATCTGCTTGGAACGGAGAAGGAGGTCACTTCCGATTTTCAATTCCTCTCCAAATGTCAAAGACGACTTGGTCTTAAAAAGTCATAGTTGTGTGATTTGATGATCCCCCCCCCCTAACTGTTGTGGTTTGAACAATATTAAGTTCACCACGTTAAATAGTGAGAAGGTGTGATTTGAAATGATTAATTAGTTATTTACCGACTACAATGTATATCTTTTGAAATAAACGAAAAATAGAAGAAGTCTTGTAAGATTTCATAACTTAAAAAAAAAAAAACCTTACCAGAAATGTTCCCCGGCGGTGAACACAGCGGATAGTTTAATGTGGCTTTGTTCTAAAAACAAACAAAAAATTAAATTAAGATTTGTTAAATTTCGCGCCAACTGTTCCTAATTTAGAAGTGGCTACCACTTTTATACCTGAAAATATAAAGCGTGTCCATTAGTGTCACGTCTGAAACTGAACCCTACGATCAGCAGCCCGACACGTTATATCTTGAGAAAAGCTATATGTTAAAATATCGTCTTAAGTTTGTTGAATAAATTGATCCCGTGCGTGTTTTTGCACACATACATGTATATAATCAGGCAGTCTTCGTTTGGAGAGTTTAAACTATTCAATTTTGTATCATACATTACATTAAAACAACTTTGAATATACAAATCAACAAGTCACGTGAACACTAGAGTCGATATAAAGTCGCGGTGGAACGGAAGGTATCAGAACTACATATTCGTGTTGTTTTATTTCGTCGTCTTCAGATGTAGAATATTCATACACTCAGGTCATAAAAACGTGTTCAGATCAGGGATATAGATTTTCCAAGACGAGAACGTCCCTTGAATTTGATGAAAATAAAATGAATGAGGGTTATATTGGGAACCAAAACACAAGATGTCTGCAACAAGTCGTGATAAGCGAAATGTGACCTCTTATAAGAATATACGAACACAAGGGTCAGAGGCAAAAGTCGTCCACGTGCCCAAGCAACAGTACACAACATAATCAAGAAAGTTGTTCGCTCTTGAGTATCAACACAAATCATATGTATATATACGTTACTTTCACAACATATCAGTACAGATATTTGCGAGAAATTCGGAAAAACAAACGAGTTTGGCGGCCATCTTGAATAAGGCGGCCATATTGGATTAAATGAAATGCATGTTGGTCTACATCTGAAACTGGTCACTAAACATCTAACTGATACACTGATCATATCTTTAACAGGTTGTATACAATGTAGACGAAATATCTGCATTATATTACTGGACAATAGTTGTGTTTTAACACATACAAGACTGACCTTTCTGTTCATTTATCGTACAGCATTTGCAAGTGGACATTTCATGCTTTACTGAACTATATTTAGACGAAATATCTACATCATATTACTGGACAATAGTTGTGTCTTAACACATACAAGACTGACCTTTCTGTTCATTTATCGTACAGCATTTGCAAGTGGACATTTCATGCTTTATTGAACTATATTTAGACGAAATATCTACATCATATTACTGGACAATAGTTGTGTTTTAACACATACAAGACTGACCTTTCTGTTCATTTATCGTACAGCATTTGCAAGTGGACATTTCATGCTTTATTGAACTATATTTAGACGAAATAGCACAAAAATAGAAATTTATATGATGAAGCAATGATTTCAATCTGTAGCTGGAAACTTCATTAAGGCACGTGTATCATATTACGAAACTCCACCTTCAAATTCTATTTTTATACCTCGTGCTATTTTATTAAAAACAATTGTAAAGCTGAGACTAAAACACGATTGGCTGGTTTTCGAAATTTTCTACGAAATTTGAATTAGTCTGCTGTCAGTTACTATAAATCTAGTTCATTTCTTCACCGCCTGTCTGTTACTATGGCAACCCAATTCGTTATACAGTCGGTTATGGGGAATACGATACGAATATATCATTAGGAAGAGACATAATCGAAACTGTATAATTTCATTTTCATTTATTTAAGGTTAATTCTGTCGTTGAGCGACCTCTATAATTAAGTGCGGTAAAAAGTACTTGTTGCTAATTGCGGGTTTCATTTAAAGCATTTGCTGAAGCCTGATTAGGAAAGGGTTCATTAAGCCTAAATCTTAGGATACGCTGATATTCAACCAATGGCACACACTTTATTGTATATATATATATATATATTTTACTACCATCTTATGGAGCATTCTGCTTTTTCAAACAGTTTATCAGAAACTGTTGAAAAACGAAACTAAAAAGTTACAGCGACACCTATACTTTCAAACAATTTAGAGAATGCACATTTACTGTCAAAACTCACGACACTGGACAGTTAAACGATCAATATGAGTATTTGTAAGAAACTGTCCTAGGTAAATACTTATAAGATGCATAAGGAATCGCAGCGAGTGCATACCGTTGATTTCTGGAACTGAACTAGGGGTGCCACTGTATCAGTTGTTTAATATTACCACCACCGACCATCCTGACAACAACATTCTTCGGGTGAGATCGACTGCTGTTAGGCCCACAACAGGGTAGCCAGAAGACGTGAAATGGCGGAAATGGTTTACAGGATGGAAACTTCTGCCAGTATAAGCACTTAAAAGTGATGCAGTTTTTAATCAGACTTATCAAATTGGGTTAGAAATATATTACGTACTGTTAAAGATGTACAGTTAAGCATTTAGGCTTAATCAACTCCAGGGGTGGGTGCCGGACTTTGGTCTAAGGGTCCATGATTCACTTTTAGTACTGTAGAGCCATGGGCACGTTAGAGTGACGTTTAAATCCCACTATTTGATTAGAATATCCCAAGAGTTGGCGGTGAGTGTGGTTGACTAGTTGCCTTCTCTCTATTCCATCAGTTCAAAATTAGGGTCGGATAGTAAAGACAGTCCCTGTGTAGTTTTGTATGAATATGAGAAACAAATAAAGTCAACTGAGGTAATGTAGCTTTAGAGGAATCTCAAATGACACTACTTGAAAAAAAGAAATCAGTGGTGTGGAATTATTAATTAAGATATTTCTTTTTTCATGAATTATTAATTAGGATCTTTCTTTTTTTTCATCAATTATTAATTAGGATATTTCCTTTTTCATGCATTATTAATTAGGATATTTCTTTTTTCATCAATTATTAATTAAGATATTTCTTTTTTCATCAATTATTAATTAGGATATTTCTTTTTTCATCAATTATTCATTAAGATATTTCTTTTTTCATCATTATTAATTAGGATATTTCTTTTTTTCATCAATTATTAATTAAGATATTTCTTTTTTTCATCAATTATTAATTAAGATATTTCTTTTTTTCATCAATTATTAATTAGGATATTTCTTTTTCATCAAGTTGTTTGTTATTGTTAAGTACAAAGCTACACAATGGGTTATTTGTGCTGTGTTCACCTCTATGAATATCTGGTTTTTTTAGTGATATAATCCATCAGACTTGTCGCTCAGTTACCGAGAGGACAGCTTATTGTGAAGTGTTACACTTAACTACAATACAAACAAACAATAAAAAACACCAGAAGATAACCGAAGTTCTATGAAACACAGGTAAATTTTGTGACTAAAGTTCTCATTTCTTTAGATACACTTCTGGCTTTTTGGAATTTTTTTTTTATCAGTATTGCTGAAGAGCTATACTAAATTCGAGGACTGGAGTGGTCGAATGGTTAACGTATAGGGCTGCGTATCTGCTGTAGGCGCGTTATAAAAATGATTACAAAAGTGACAGTCATTCCCGTTATTCGATTCAAAAACTCCAAGAAAGCCCTTTTGGCGACGGGGTTCTATTCGCTGGGTTCCTTTCCTACGGCTTATTTGCTCTGAATTAAGTATCAGTAACACATTTTTAAGAGCTTGGTGTAAATTAATAACCCCGTTTAAAACACTCGGAAAAAAACAACTGAAAATGTAATGCAATTTATTTTAAATATATCTAACACAATTCAACAATAAAACTTTAGTGCATTAGCAACTTATCACAATAACTCCACGTGCTAATGTAACAATCGGTGTATTTGTTCATTAATAATAGAAGTTCAACAATCACGAGAAGGAACTTGTTTTTTGTTGCCACAGACACAGTTCACTGTTTTGTTTCCTTTCATTGTAAGCAGAGTTAGAAGAAAAACAAAACATCGTTAATTGATAAGTATCGTTAAAGAACCCATGTCTGTTCTCAACATTAAATTTGTTTTGTTTTTATATGTTATGTGATTTAGCAACACTGTTTAGTAGAATACAATACTTTGAAAATTCTGAATTGTTGTTCACAACACACACGGTTTGTCACTATTTATCAACGACTCAAGAGAAACGATTCTAGGTTGTCATAACGACGGAATTAACGTGGCGAAGCAATATGTTCTGAAACCGGTCATGTTTAACAACAATACCGAAACCGGTTATGTTAAACAACAATACTGAAACCGGTCATGTTTACCAACAATACGGAAACCGGTCATGTTAAACAACAATACCGAAACCGGTCATGTTTACTTGATCACCAATACTAAAGAATTATCGGTTTTCTCAAGGAATTCCAATGTACAGCAAGAATAAAGAAACCAATACAAATTCATTACGTTTCATTTTTAGTGTTTGAAAACGTGAATTTTTTTTTGGTTTTGCATACATTCCAAAAGGTTTAAAACCAGAAGTGTTAATAGAAGACTAAATCTTTACTTGAAGGCTCTTAGATTTAATATATTAAAGGTTATGTAAGAACAAATGTTTCTATTTCACTGACAAGAACGTTCTTAATGGATGCATCTAGACAAGGTTTAATTTTAAAAAATTCTATTTTACCAAAAATTACCTTAACTTTTCAATAAACTATATAACCATTGTTAACACCGTACTTTATAGTTTCTAACTTGTGAAATGTTTATTACAGAGAAATACACACGTAAATAAATAAATATATATATATATGACCATGCAACGTTTCGACCTTCTACAATGGGCTATCTGTGCTCTGCCCACCACGGGTATCGAAACCCAGATTCTAGCGTTGTGAGTCCGAAGACATACCGTTGTGCTACTGGGGGGGGGGGGGGCTCTACTTAGGTCATGAGCAGGGAAGAGAAAATAACGAGAATTTGACACATTAGAGAATACAAGATTAAAATTATAATCGCG